CTAAAATGTTCAGTCCGGACTTACTGAAATTACAAATCGCGGCGGCGCGGCGAGTAGAAAACTGCCGGAATGTAAATGACTCAATTTGGCAGTTAAATTTGGCTTTGTGAAGAAAGTCTGAGATGAAAGTATACCTATAGGAGGCGCGTCGTCGCAGAGTGGATCGAGTAAATGTGAGAGGTTGGACTTGAAGTTTTGGATCAAGAACTGCGATTTTGATGTTCATTTTGTCAAATTTTAAATTTTAGGAGGTTTTTCCTAAAGGAAATTTTACGAGAGAACCAATGGAATCACTTTAAACACCTCACATCTTGTTTTATAAGATTGAGTCATAGGCTAATGAAGTCTCCAAATTTTGTCCGACTTCTTAAATTGACTGGCTCCATTGAGGGCCGAAAGTCTCGGGTGCTGGCGCCGTAACTTCAAATTCTCCACAAAATGTGCGTTGGTTTTTGTTTCACTTCCTGTACATATTAACACGAAAGTAACACAAGAGCGCAAATATTTTTATCAGTGTACTTGGTATTGGAGGATTGCGAGCAGGAACGTAAAATTAGAAATGCCAACCGGCTGGGTCCTAAATTGCCTTAAAAGCGCACCTGAACATTTCAATTGATCAAACTATGGCAAAGACCGTTAATTAAGCCATAACAGGTACCAATCCGTTCTATTAATAAAGCTAAAATATGTGCTTTTTAGACTGAAGTCAATTCTCCGATCGCTCATGAAGAATTTGGGACTGCTCTGGGGCGAAAGCGTTGAAAAACGGAATGAAAGCAGAAGGTGCTAAACCATTGATGCGGCTACTTTGATTCGAGAAAAAAACCAAAGCGTGTTCTTCCGATACGCCCGACGCGCCACTTATTCCTTTGAAGATATCTTTGAGACTTTGAGGAACAAATCTATATATTCCAAAGGTCACGTACATACATATCACATTACTTATCACAGTACTTATCACAGATCGAAAATGAAGATGATGAACCGAGATGAATCCAGAACTCGGACAGGAATCAGACTACATCTTAGCAACAGGAAACTAGAAATCGAACAGGAACAAAACTGCGAACTACAACTGGAAAATTGAATATAGGATACTTTATTTACAGGACTCGTGCAATGTAACCTGAAATTCTTAATGTAGTGGGCCTAAAAATTTTAAAAATAGTTCTTATTAGGTATGTCAGTCACAGTGATTGCATTATTTTAAAATTATGGAAGCGCGATTAAACACAATTTTTGAGCGAGGAGCACAGTATTCAGCTAAAGGACTACAGAACAAAAAGTTGAACTGACTGCCCCTCTCCAGATGCGGGCTTTGGCTTGGTTCATTTATTGACAAACCCAACATATCACTGAAGCAACCTTTACTTGTATTCATCATGCAATATCTTGCGGAAGAGGGATAGTTTACGTTAAAAAATTAAAAAAAAAAAAAAGACAACGAGTATTAAACGATGCCGTGCGAATTAATCGTGTTAAACCAGCACTGAGCGAAAATCTGCACGGTTTTGGTCATATTGAGAAATGCTCAGGAATAGAGGTGCGCAGTTACGGCAATCTTAATCATTATAATTCGGGGTTATTAACGAATGATAACATGAATAACCAAACAAGATCCTGAGCCTGCTAATTGTTTTATTCGATTTTAATGACTTCCCTTAATTTCCTTATGCGTTTTAACTAGCCTCTAATCATAATAGATCTGGATGTGTCAAATGAAATTAAATCAAAACAGTGAAAATCTTATTTAACGTCGAATTGAGTATAGAAATAGGAGATCAAGGAATTGTTTTGAAATTAAATTTTACGAGAAAAATTTCATCATGTGTTATTAAAATGAAATCGAATGAAATCTGTAAGATTCTGTATAATTTGCAGATATGGATGCGTGAAATGAATTTCCACACGATTAAAAATTATGGTACTTGCAGGCCTATTTATTTATTAACTCTCATCAATTATTATGTTCCATTTATTCTCTTACCCAGGTGCTTGAAGCACGAACCTCTCACACTTTTACTTACTATGGTGAATGACAATTTCAATATGTTCACCTAAGTTTATCTTCACTCCTAATTAGTTTCTAGTCTTAGATTCACACGTGAATTCAATATTTCACTTTACCTAACCTAAAATCGAATTCCTCAGGTGACATGGATCATTAACTACGTGTTTAAATCGTTTAACATGAGGTTAAAGAATCTTCAAAGAGGAAAAATGGGCCTGTTGCATGCAAGAGATACAGCCGTGCGAATAGACTTTTTAGAGGTTAAATGACACGAAAATTACGATGGTCACATTAAAAAAGTCTGAAATACACTCCTTACTGCGCAATTTGTGTTGTTAGGAACGCGCTTTTTCAAATTTCCCGCGTCTGGGGGCAGTTTTCTAACGGAAACAATTAACGGCAACTCGCGGCTATCTCCGGTCAACTGAAACTGACAACATAACCTAAAAATCTGAGCTCGTGACATCGTGAAATGAAATGTAGAAGGATTGCGTTGGATATTTAAAAGTTGATCGATTTGGTTACCGCATAAAGCGTATATGAACCACTGTAGGAGATCACGTTGGGTTTGTAAACAAACTGAAGGAAAAAATAACAACAACAACAACGACTCGGCATCTTCCGGAAATCACCGAGCCCGCCGTTTGCTCGTTTCCGGTGATTAGAAAACTGCCCCCAGACGCGGGAAATTTGAAAAAGCGAGTTCCTAACAACGCAAATTGCGCAGTAAGGAGTGTATTTCAAACTTTTTTAATGTGACCATCGTAATTTTCGTGTCATTTAACCTCTAAAAAGTCTATTCGCGCGGCTGTATCTCTTGCATGCAACAGGCCCATTGTAAGGATCGCTTAATTTCGGAAATTTCTTTTCCCCCTCCAGTCACCACCGATTGAAGATATGTTTCACTTGCATTTTTCCTTACACGAGTGAGACGTGCAGCGTGATTTATTCCAGAAGTAAGTCAAACCAGTGCGCCTACATTATCTTCTATAGGCAAAACAGACAGCACCGGAGCACGAATAGTTGTATCCATGCGTTGTTACCAATGTAGCATGCATTTGTTGGGCTAGGCGCAAACTTCCGTTGGCTCGTCTTCATATTATTCTTAATGTGTGGACAGTTATGATCTTCTCCTCTTATTTTTTTCCTTTTTACTACTCAAACTGGAACGGTTATGTTATGACCATCCAAAAACGATGAGAACGATCATTAGAATTTTCAAACCAGTATAGCAAAACAAATCTCTCACAGAGAAATTAAAAAGTATCGCTGTATTTTGTATGAATTTTTTTCTAATTTATTCTGAGTTTTATGGAGAAGAGTGTATCTTTTTCAAATAGATAAGCTGATCGATGTCTTTATAACGCACGTACTGTATTTTATTGTACTTCATTGTAATGTTGTAACGAAAAGGGAAACAGGTCATTCAGTTGAAATTGTACAGATGAGGAAGAGCTAAGCAACCTTTGTACAAATGAAGTTGAAACCTTCCGACCAAAATGTACGTGAGTTTTCCCTCAATTTTTTTAAGTGCCACACGGAGGACCACTGGACAATTTCTAATAGATATTGATTTTTGAAGCTCCCTTTGAGATAAACGGAATCAATTTTACCGCTAACATACCGAAAAATATAATTTTCAGTATTTCATGAAAATTTAAGGAATTTTTCGGTAAAGAGGGCGTATGAGACTTCTAATGCTGCCAAGCTTGTTCAACGTAGCTCTGTAGTTGTAAGTGACTTTTCCAACAGTTCTGCTGTACATTTTCCCCTGAATCTGCTCCGAATTTTTCCTCACTATTGTAAGGAAATAACGACGGTGAAACTACCAAACCACGTATCTCGGTTTGCGACGTCGCAGACTTCCTGTCATACTTTATTTTTTAAATGAAAAACTACTTAACATCCAGTCTTGAAAATTTCTGTGATTTTTCCTCTTTGTGCGGAGAAAATTCCGTGAAAATTTCAAGGAGTGATATTGATTTGGTCTACTTCAAAAAAATAAAATGTGAGCGTAGATTTTTAAACACCGCAAACGAGATACGTGGTTTGGTAGTTTCACCGTCGATATGTCGAATGTGAATGAATTTCATCTGCCGCACTGGAAAAAAAACACATTGGATCTAGAGTCCAGACTCTTGAAAACATTGACAAGAAAAAATACTCTAGATTCAATCGGATTTTTGCTTGAATCAAAACGAAATCTGTTTAAATTAAGAGGCTTGGTTCTTGATTTAAGCTAGATTCTGATTGAATCAAGAGTACTTTTCCTTGTCGATGTTTTTAAGATTCTGGACTCTAGATCCAATGTGTTTTCTTTTCCAGTGCGTATACGCTGTGAAAAATTGCACAATCTTGGCAGCATTTCAAGTTTTATAAGCCTTTTTACCGAAAAATCCTCGAATATGAAAGCAAATATGCTAAGTCGTAAATGCAAAAATACATTTTTTTTGTGCCATCGTCGTTCCGTGGATTTTAAGGGCTATCGTAGAATTTCATTTTCAAGAGGTGCGAAAGAGCAGATCTTCCACGTCTGTTAAAATTCCGAACGTACTCCGATTTCCTCAGAGTTTCCAACGGCTGAGCTTCCCCGCCCGGGCGCGGTACCTGATGCAGGACAGTATTAAAAATGCATAATCAGCCATCTGTGGTAATATCCTCCACGCAAGGCCTTTTAATGGAAGAACAAACAGTAAACACCTGGACACAATTAATTAACGGGCTCGTAAAATTTTAGTGCTCGCCCGGGGGCAGCCACTGGAAACACAAAATAAATCCCGCGCGTCACGTGAGAGAATACAGGTTAAGGTGAGGAGTCAACTTTTTCTTCCGTTTTTTTCTTACGGAGCTTGGAAAGTTGTCCTCCCTGATACGGATCGGGCGATGCGATTCTTTTGGGGCGAAGAGTAGGCAGAGGCGATCGATGTATCGATGCAGCGGGGACCTAGTCACCCAGTGTCCGGTGTCCTTCCCCACCCTCCACCCGCGGTAACCGCGGAGTGTTTACCCGCCGGGTTGTGCGGTTTTCGTCACTGCGGGATTACCTGCCCAGGTGCTTTACCGCGGATTCGCGCCGTTTTTAGCTAGATCAACTGCCGTTCTCCGCACTTACCCGTCCATTACATCCAACCGGGTCTCCATCTCCACTGCCCAAGTAAGTCCGTCTCTTGTCTTCATTTCTCCTTAGATTTGTCCGATCAACCCATACATGAGGACTTATATGTAACAATAGCGGGTGTGAAAAATTACCTTTTCGAAACACGCTTAAAAAGCTGTTTTCGTCACACAAAAATTTAATAAGTTTGCCTCTGGCGTAATGTACAGATCTCGAAGATCACATCGCAAGTATTTTCTCAAAATGTTCTCGATGCCAAAACAGTTTTTTTAACGTGTTTCAAAAAGGTAATTTTTCACATCCGCCATTGTTACATATAAGTCCTCATATACCCCAAACAATTTTTTTTAAATTGATTTTTTATTTACTTGTTGTTTTTGACGTTGTGTAGACAGGGTAAACACGTGTTGAGGCACAACAAAAATAAAATAGGCTTGCCTATAACCCAGACATGGGTTATCCTGTGTTGAACACATGAAATTCCCTAATTTACACTAACACTGAAAGTCAAAAACTGCGATGGGTCGTTAACGACCCAATGGGTATACATGGGTAATCGCAAGGGAATAAGTATCGAAAGTATTCCATTTTCTTGAACCGAGTTTTTTCGAAAGCTAAAATTCTATCAATCGTAAAAATTGTCAAGTTTTGGCTTTTTATATTAAAGAAAATTTGCAGTTTTTTCGGTCTTAGACAAATTAGTGGTCGTGATCACGGAAGTAGCGGTGTTCTACCTAAACCCTTAATTAATTGTAGCTTTAACTAGTAATAGTGGTATCTGTGCGATTAAATGATAAGTGACCTACATGTTACAATAAGACACTACTATTCCTGGCTTATTTTAAAAAAAAAACCATACGTACCACTGGTTCTATCATGCAGATAGGCGTTTTTATGGATGAGCGTGGTATGATTTAACCAATCCTTTCGGAAAATTATCACTTAATGGTAAAAATACTATTATTACCTATTAGTTATGGTTAGCACTGATTGGATTACATTTTGCAATACGGAACTACTATTTCTAGCTCATTTTAGAAACAACTTACATGCCATTGGTTTCCCTATGCAGATATGTGTTTTTATGGCAGATCCAGAGATAATGGTTCCTTATTGTACAATGTAATCCAAGTAAGAGTTCATAATAGCCGTCGCTACTTTCGTAATCATATAAACTCTATTTTTTTTCTTAGTATGGAAAGTTTTAATAAGTCATACCTATTCTTGCAAACTTTTCTCTAAAATCAGCTCTCTTAATATCGAACTTCTGCAACGCGTGTGTTTTACATATCCATAAATTAAGGCCATCGGCAGCCGAAGTTAAAATGCATTATAATATTCTAAGAGCATTGCAGCTTCATCTTCCTTATTCGAAAAGTCAAACAAAAGCTCAACGAAACATTCCAGCGATAATACTCTAACACAAGAACAACGTTTTTCTCCAACAAGTTACAGCTGTGTATGTTTTTCGTTCTTTGCGACGAAAAACAAGGAAAGCCTCTTAATACTAGTGAGATGGGATGCGCTTCACTTTGAGCGCGCTGAGGCACTTGAGTATACAAATATTATGAAATTGCTTTTTACCCTTCAACATTGTGGAAGCTGATACTCACCAATAAATTTCAACATCGAACACAAATATCTCTTTGTCAGTTCAACTCTCACTCTAAGGTCCTGCTTTTCACAACACGTCGCTGTTCCCTGATTGGATGCTTGGGGTTTTATGTGCGGTCTTAAAACTTTTCACTTATGAACCAATTGTTGAAAATCGCTAAAAAAGAGACATGTTTTCTGTAGATTGGACCAATTTAACTCTGGCTGAACAACTGAGCTACTTTCTACTCGTTTAATGTAGGACATATTTGGTCTTGGTGGACCCTGAGAATTTAAGATAGGTTTTTGCCTACCTCATAGTTAGTTTTATCAACCTTCTTGAAGGGATGAAAGGGAATGTTTTTGGTTAAGATGTAACACGTCAACTTCCTCGACCGGATTTTTTACCCGAAAATGTTTTGGGGGGTTTTTGGTAGTTTATAATCAATTCAACGGACAAGACTAAATTTTAGCACGCCTCTCTATTTGCAAACAATACAAAAATTGCAAAATAGGCAGAGATTTCAAATGAACGCGCGCACTTTTAATTAAAAGCTGTAATTTTAACTTTCACGTTGATTTGCGACTGTGGCTGACTGAATGCAACATACAGCCTTCATATAGTCGAAAAGCAAGTAAAAGTGCGCGTAAATAATTTAAAAATACGAAGCTAGAATAGTTGAAAACTTCAGCTGAGATGATAGCAAGAAAGTCACGCAGGAATACTCCAGAGAGCCAGCTGAACAGTGTGTATAAAAAAGGGAGTGTTTAAGGATCAAGTAACACGGCTTTTCCGGTCATCCATTCTCTTCCGCGTAACACATCCGTAACGTAAATCCAGATGTCTCTTGTGAAACGCTGAGCAGACCCCTCCCTCCAAACACTTCCACTACTTTCATCAGTTTTATGGAAGAAAACAGGACAGAAATATGTTTCGTTAAGAGCTCTACGGAGTAGCCCCTTATATGCCTTTTCTCTCTAATCGTGTCGGACTAGGGCCACCACCACCCTCCCCCCCCACCCCTTCTAACGTAAACTTCGACAAGTGATATTTGAAATTTAAAATTCGAATGTAGATTGTTTTCAGAATAAAAGTATCCGTCCTCCTACATATGCACAAATGCACATATATACATATATCTGACTCTATTAAATAAAATCATAAGAGTAATACCATTAACGCATAACGCCTGAGGCGTGAAACGCTTGGGGGGAGGGGGGCCGCAGAGCGGTTAGAGAGCCCCCTCGGTGATACGTATTTTCATGAATGTCTTTATGTACTGTGGTTTCTTCAATGCTGTTCATTTGGACGTATTTCTGCCAAACGGAACTATCTGCATCAAGATATGAGCCGCGAGACCCATAAGAATATATGCATATGCATAACAAGACTCACGTCATAATGCACATAGTTCCGTTTCGCAGAAATACGTCAATTTGAGAGTTAGGGATTTAGGTTTTTGATTTGAGTTTCGATGACTCTCGGAAACAACTTATGCTGCCTGCCAGTAATGACCTTCCTCACTATTGCCTCACCCACATCGCAACTTGCATATGAATCGTTGTCCTGAAAAAATTTGGACTTGATCTCCAAAGATGGTTCACAGGTGTCAAGTGGTAGCTCCAATCATTATACAATCGAAAATCGTGCAAGCGAAAATTGGCATTCCGAGCAAATCGGCACCTTTCAATCGAAGATTGCATTAAAAAAACGGAAACCTGTTTGACGAGCTGATCATTGAGCTCACTTGATGAACAAAATTAAAATTTTTATCGACAAAAAATTGCGAATTCTCTTTTTTTAATGTTCTGAGAGCATACATTTTCTTGGCAAATACCTAAATATTCGTGCAGAGCTATCAGATATTTGTATCTGGCGCGTCTATTACTGAAAAGACCCGCATTAGTGTCAGTCTGTATCAGTATTTTTAGATCATCGATTGTGGGTCATGAACAGATACAGCACATCAACCTTCTTCCCTCGGGTTTTGAAAAATCCTAGTGCTGGGGGTACGCCCTCTGACCGCTTCGAGGTTCAACCCTTTCAAAGCGCTTCGCGCCTCACATGTCATGCATGACGCGTCACTATTGTGATTTTATTATAGATGAGTAATATATCTGGGCCGAACATATAGAAGAACTACCCTTAATCTTTTAAGAGGTTTAATTAGTTACGGTTACTGTATAGTGGGAGTTTATTCTGCGTCATTTATAGTTTAAGAGAGTTGGAAAATTTAGAGTGTATAGGGGTCATTCTCTTATCAGAGTATTTGAGGATAATACAACGCATTCAGAATAGAAATCTGCATCTGGTTCAAGGTTCCTAAGTTTGGATGGGGGTTTAAAACTTAGGGGCCGAAGTTTGTTGATCCTTCTAGCATACTTAAATTTACCAAGGACGAGTTTCATTCATACGTAAGTCCGGCTTAGCGCTCCTGATTAACTGGTTGGGCATTTTGGACTTATCAACAGATGTTGCACCTGCGTGTGAGAGAGCCGACAAAAAAATTTTGCCCCAGCCTTTGAGTGTTTTTTGGAAAAGGAGGGTATTTTTGAGTTGCATTATGTTGACAGACTGATGAAATAAGAGTTGCGTATTTTTTAAGCTTAACGTAATTTAAACTGAGGATATACTTTGTGTTGCCTACGAATATGTTAGAGGGAATATGGAGGTGGAGAAATGCAGTGGCGTAGACCAGGGGTTCTGCCCCCCCCCCCTCCCCCCTTAGCCACGTTAATTGTACCTCATTTTTACTGTCGGAGAGTAAACATAAAATATTATCAGGGACAAACACAAAATAATGTAAATTTACTGTCACGTTTTTGAATGGACTCCCCCCCCCTCCCTTAAAAAGTCCTAGCTGCGCCACTGGAGTAATGCAAATATTCCATCATATAACACTTGAAAGCTTTCATTGTGACGTCTATTTTGGTTGTTCAACTATTATTAGAGAAAAAAGCTCTTACCTGATACGACGATATTTTTTACTCATTTATAACTTGTTGTATAAACTGAGAGGCTTCAGGAACTATGATATGACCTTATATACACGTTCGGCTCGGTTGAAACAGGTGGCGAGTTAAGGGCGGATTTTCCCGATGCATGAGCTTACATAAAACATAAAAATAAAAAAAGTTTTCCTCACTATTCTCACAATCATCATACCTCCACATTGGGTCATTCACTAATTACGTGACGTATTTCTCATCATTTTAAGACCTCTCACCCATTTTAACACTTAATCTTATGACCCCTCATCATTAAAATTAATAATCGCCGGGGACATTATTTTCCTTATTGACTTCAATAAGCGGTGCGTATAATATGACCATGATTTTTGCAATCACTTAATGTAATTTCACACATTTTAATTTCATCGAATGTCCTCTTTAACAAGGAACTTGTAAAAGTTTATTGGTTTTCATCTGTGAATGTGTTAATTTTAAATTATAACTCTAACTTATCACGAGTGATTAGAGTAGATCGTATTATAACTCATAAAATGCAAGCTTCATAAGTACACATGAATCAATTGCTCGAAAAAGAGGTAGAGAAACCGATTGCTCGCAATGTATTTCATTAATTTCGAATGAAATTAAATTAAATGAGACTTATGGATCCGACAAAACTAGGTGATTTAATTCAATGACAGTTAGGACTACGTTGACATTTTTGATGAGGGTTTCTTTTTGCAACAACGGAAGTCTCAAATACAGGAGATTTTAGGTCAGGAGGGATAGTTGAACGCACAAGACAGCATGCATGGGAAGAGAGGAGTGAGATGAAAGTTTTTTTCTCTCATGTATCATTGCTGCAACATGTTTCTGGTGGCTAAAGACGACATTGCAAACAAAGCGACGTGCACTACTGTTAAGGCAAGAAAGGCTAGAGACCACTGGGTACCAGCTCCTTCAATTCATTACATATGCAACAATGACATCCATTGAGTACGAATAGTTGCCTCCAGACAGTATTGAGGGTAGTCCTAGACTCAGAATAAATGTCTGTTTTACCGGAAACTTTATTAAAGAAAAGTCTCGATTGTTCTGAGGGTTCCGAGGATAATTTAAAGTACTTGCTATCCTAAGTAACTAAATTCATCAAATTCAATAAAAAAGGTACCACGCCACTCTGACCTGTGAACTTAAACAATTGGACAATATAAAGTCGAAAGAATCAAGCTGACGCTTGAAGTCAAGTAATCCTGTTAGAAAAATTTGTACGCAGAGTTTTTCTAATGAGACTAATAAGTTTGATATAAGAACGAAAGTTTTATGATGGAAATATAATTTAAAATGAAATTTAATATTAAAACCGCAGTGGCTTTTAAAAACTCGCCCAAATTAAACTTTAACCTGTTTCTGTATTAAATTGGTCCCGATTAACTTTTCGTTTTACTTTTCTTTTTAAAATGCGTATTCATTCTTCCCCGTGAAATTTGATTAATTTGCGGTGGGACTTATACCAGCAATTCTCTTCTTTCCTCGTCACTCCTTCCCTCTAAAATCGCTCCACAAATCCTGAGCCACCTTGATGACTCGGGCTCTCAAGTACTTCGGTGTTCCCATAACGATGTAATTCTATAACGATGCGAGTAATTCGTGCGTTTTCCACTGCGTGTAAAATAGGACGGCGGAAAATACAGTAAATTAGAGAACGCCAAATGCAGCGTAATGAAGAAAATCCTGGTGCAAGTCGTCTAATGAGAGATCCTCCAGCGAATAACCGTTTCGAGAAATCATACTGCAAGAAAACGTTGTTGCCAGGGCTTGAGACTGATATGCAAGTAATTCCTTACTTAATTAATTTCGGAAATGCATTCGAATATGCACGACAACTAAACCGGACTTCAAAGATAGAGTATCTTATAATTACGGAGGAATAAGATCTTAGCGTGTACCTATACATCAGTATACTTCAGTGCTATCTCATCTGATAGCAAGGCGGATTGAAATATTTTCGAAAGTCTCGTTAATACGTGTATCTTATTAAAGACGAGGTTCGTCTCTTGCACTTACATGTTCAACCCCTTAATGAGGTGATGCTACAGAAAACGTCGTTGCATGATTTTCTCTAGCTCATGTTTACACGTGTTGACATTACCGTGGAAATTGCCAGCTCTCTCTCAAATTCTCGTAGCCTCCTTCAAGAAGGTATCACCGTATGCTGTAATAAGGACCTTTATACAATATACATTTTGTTCTGTTCGCCGCAAAATAGCTAAACTTAGAGTACCTTTATAGTGAGAGTATGGACAGATCGCTTCATGGACGGCTTAGGGCCCGAAAGTGCAGCCACCCTTCAACCAACTTCTAACGCACAAAACACTGTCAATCTACAGATTCCAATTCTAACCAAGATGGCAAAGAATGTACACAAATGCGCGTTCTTCCGCAAAAATTAGTAAATTTATGCAAAAACTAAGTCAAATACGTGCTTTATAAACGATGGTTCGTAACAATTGTATAAGTAAATCGCTCTGAATAATTGAAATTCATAGGTTGGCTGCATTTCTGGGCCCTAACTTTATTCGCGGAGGCATCGGTGAAGGCCTGATGGAGTTCCGGAGTTTCAAATCTGTCTATACGCTCGCTGTACGCAGGTACTCTAGCTAAACTCAAGCGTGTAGTCGATCACTCAATGGATTAAAAAATAACCCACATATTTTATACCTTTCTTTTATATTTTGTTTTGCAGAAATCCACTCTGAACTGTGAATACGCTTTTCTTCATTATAATTTTGTGATTTAATAGACCATCGATGATGGGTGCTAGAAATCCAATCCTGATAAAGTCCACGATGGCTTGCGCATTGTTCTCGGCAATTTCTCTTAGCATTTTACTAGGTGCCTCTAGCAAAAAAGTCCGTAAGTAACCACAACTTTTTTACTCAATTACAATACAGAATTTTCATTTTTCTCCATGCGGATCCCTTTTGATTTCGCGAGTGGATTTTTAAATGGATATTCCTCAACTGCCCATCCAATTCTCAAGATAATATCCTGTGTGGTCTAAATTTAAGATACGTCACATTTTGGGTAAAAGAAACTTTGTATTGAAGATCTAGTCAAAGTCAATTTTTTTTACCCTATACTCACCCGTGTCATGTATTTGACGGTTGTTTAATTTTTGTTTTTCAGCCGACTACCTCCAATTGTGCAAGAAAGATACTCCTCAATATGACCAATGCACCCAAAATGCCATTGAAGCCGCAAAACCATACCTGGCGAAAGGTAGGCAAACTTTTTTGTATTTTGACATCAAATTTGACGTTGGCACTTTACCGAATTGAAAGTTGCAAATGAAAAAGGATACGGATAAAAGTAATTTAATCCCCCTTTTTTGCAAAACTGTATTTTGTAGTTTTAACCGTTCACTTTAAATCACGTCTTTTCCGTCACTGATGTCCAAACGCTAAAAAGGAAAAACTTTTCATGGGCTTCCTGGTAAACTTGTGTCGAACTCAATGCAAGAAAGACAAAAATTGAAAACATCAACTCTCGAGCGAGATCAATGATAGCAATCCGCAGTTGAGCAATTTATAATTCGAAAGTTAGATAATTATGTATAAAATTATCGTTTTTTAACATTCAAGTCTGAACGGTTCACAATTAAAGTAAATTGCGAACGGCATTAATTTGCGTATCTAATTTGCATGATATCTATAGGGCTTCTCTACTTGTTCTGAAGGCAAAACGTATGAAGCTTTTCGGATGTCAATGGACTTGGAACTTCCTATGGAAATGTTAATCTGCCTAGCAATATAGCGTATTGTTAATGATAGCAGATAAATTGTACTTCTTTATCTTGTGTACTGAATGATACTAGTGATTACTAATGATACTAATGCTTTTTCACAAATTTCAACAGGTATTCCAAAAATGAAAGTCCCACCCCTAGAACCTCTAACAATTCCGCAGCTCATCATTGACCGGAATTTGGAGGCAATTAAAGTCAAGGCAAAATTAGACAACGTTACTGTCTTTGGTTGCTCAAATTTTGACATTCAAAAGCTTAAGTAAGTTGAAATCTCTTTCCGTAAACTATTACATTATAGCTGCAAAAAATGGATTACATTGCATTCTCAAACGGAATTATCTTTTTTTCAACTCTGTCGGAAGTGAGGATTGCCTCTTTGCTACCTTGTGCAGGCAGCTTCTGGAAGAGAAGCGTTACTCGTTAATTTCTGAAAACGAAAACAATTTCTGATTTATCATTGCTAATGTAATTCAAATCATAAAAACTTATGCTGAACATTAAGAAAGTTCCGAGTTATCTGTACGGTGCTAGGTCATTTTTCCTATTTTTTTTTTCCTACATCAGGTTTTCCTATTACTTTTTTCCTACTCGTTTTTTGTCCTATTACAGTAAGTCCTACGAGTGAGATGTCCCACTGGCTTTTTTCCTAAGGGTGTTTGTCCTAATAATTCAATAATAATTGAAACGTAAACATGAGTAGAGTAGAGGGAAATTTTTCAGAAAGAGTAAAGTTTTCTCAGCGAGCCGAATATAAGTGCGTGAACAGGAGACATTACAAGCTGAGCCTTCTATACCCTCAATATAAGGAGGAGGATGAAGCTCCACTACTTACGGGCATGCGGCCACAATTTTAACTTGTGAGGTACCTGTGTTGTTTTTTTACTTTCTCGATCCCCTAGTTTTAAAATTGAATTTCGGACAAATGCCCCTAGGAAAAAAGCCAGTAGGACATCTCACTCGTAGGAGTAACTGTGATGGAACAAAAAACAAGTAGGAAAAAAGTATAAGGAAAAATTGCAGTAGGAAAAAATGTTTTCGGAAAAATGACTTGCCACCATCTGTACGCATTCAGTTTCAGGTAATTAAAATCCTAAATCATCCTCGGTATTAAGCATTGTTTAGGAAAAAAGTAAAAGTGATAATAACAGGGCCGGATTTACCTACTTGCCGCCCACGGGCCGCCTATATTTTGCCGCCCCCTTCTCATTCGTTCCGAAACATCAATGAAAACCATCAAGTGAACGTTCCAGAGGGGGAAGGGTGCATAAGACGCGTCTACTCATGTTGGACACATTTTTTTGCGAAAGCCCTGTCAACACTACTAGCAAAAGTTCGCGAAACTTTGCGCAGAAGTTAAGTTCCGTAAACCTATCTCTGTGTGGACAAGGCCTTCCACTCACAAGTATTGAACGAAAAAATTATGAAAGAACAAACATAAGGTGGTTTAATAATTTTAACTTCCGCCGCGCCAGCGCGCCGCGCTGACCGCACTGTATTTGGCGCAATGTGTGAAGTATTCACGCAGTCTTGTAGGCGCCATGCGTTTCACGCCGACCGCTGCTGACTGCACAGTGTTTGATGCAATGCGTGAAGTATTCGTGCAGTCTTGTAGGCGCTAATACGTGTTACACGCTGACCGCCGCGGGCTTCTCGCTTCTCCTTTTCATCTCAAGTCCTCGTCATCATTGCTCTCCACGCCACGCCGTTCCATGCCAAATTGCTTGTTTGATTTCTCTCTTAACTCGACTAATTAAAGGTGCTGCCTATTATATCACCGAAAGACGTCAAAATTAGAAATATTACTATACTCTCAGGAAATGAGAAATTTTGTCGCGTTTTCTCGTTAATAATTTTTTTTTTTCTGAATCCGATTTTTTTTATACCTACATTTAAAAGAAATTCAAAATTTGCCGCCCCCTTTTGCTGTCATGGGCCGCGGCCTATGTGGCCACCCCCTAAATCCGGCCCTGGATAATTAACATACCTTGTAACGTTTACAAAGGCAAATCTTGAAAAATGATTCAAATTGATGTTAGAAAAGCCTTTTATATGTTTTTCTTTCGGGTGAAACTTACTTATAAACGGTAGCAATTAGGCTGACAGGGTCTAAAAAAAAACTTCTCAGTAAATTATTTCAAAAAATATTAATTTTTTAATTAATTTTTATTTTATCTGAGGTTTAGCAGTTGTAAATTTTCTTCGGTAACTAAAAAAAGGGGCTCTCTTCCATTTTATGATACATTTACAATACATTTTACTTAACTGCATTTTACTATAGGTAGTTTGATCAAATATTTTTGAAGCGTGATTTTCAATATCCGTTATTTCTATAGGTATAGAAAAAGACTTTCACAGTTGCGATAATGCAATTTTCTCTGTAACTTTAGACGCATAAATGACATGTTATAAACTTTATTTTTTCCTTAGAATAAACACTGATAAGCTGACATTGGACATCAGTCTGCTACTACCAAAACTTTTCGTTGAGTGTGAATATGATGTGGACGGCCGATTGCTTGTGATTCCACTACGAGGAAAGGGTCATTTCATCGGAAACATGAGTGAGTTTTTTCGTCATGAATTTATATAAGTGACCGGATTATTTTAAGTAACCAATTAAAGATAATGGATTTTTGATTTTTCCCAAGAAACTAAATCGAACAATTGGAGTCTATTACAACAATTACAAAAACTTACATTATTGAGGAATTACGTGCCGCGCTCACACTCTGGGGCAAAAACAAAATAGACAACTACAGAGTAAAATCTTATTTGAGAATGAGCATGACCCAAAAAACCTCCATAGTAAATCAATGCTTGAGGTATTTTTTACGCAAGATTGACACTTATTTTCCCTCATGATTACACAGAAAATAATTTTTGCTCGTTATAAACATATTCAAATCTTGAATATTTATGTTCTTATTTCTTATTTCCAGCAAATGTAAAAGTTGATATTTCCGGTCAAGGTGAGCTGACGAATGTCAAAGGCAAAGAATATGTTCTGATCAAGAAATTGAAGATGAAACCCCGTGTAGGTGATACAACCGTTAAATTTATCAATGACAACAAAAAGAATCCCGAAAATAGACTGATAAGTAAGTATTTTGACGTTTAAAATTTAGTGAATGTGACAAAATACACAGTCTCTATAATTTTTAGTTTTGTATGTTACGGGATCTCATGAATCTAATGAATTTCCGTTTTGCGTGTAATCAATGGTTGAGAATTGGAAAAACCGCATTCAATAGGAGCTGTGAAGATTAATGAACAAAAGCATAAAAAAAATTCATTGACGGCGAAGAAACATTAAGAGGTGACTCCTCTGAGTAGTAACATTCAACAGGCATCATCGTTTCATCTTATCCTGCTAATTTTCATGATTGACGGTGACTCGACCGATGATGGAGCTGACGTAATAATTTAAGAACACGTTTAGCAGCGATAAGGTGGAAAATTACGACCTAAGTGTTGTAATTTTATAAAATTGCAGCCCAAAAGAGTGTGAGGTAATGGGCAGTGTATCACTATTACGTGGAAACTGTGGTATACCTATTTGATAAAATCACCCCGCGTATGAGAGACTTAGGTAGTTCCCATGTATGCGCATGCAATAGTCTAGCTATTAGGTTTTTCCGGTTCCCGTCCCAGACATAGATTAGTTTAAACTCCTGAGATTTGTGGTGCTTTTCCAATTGCATCGATCCATCTTCAATTCTGAGGAATTTTTAACAAATCTGACGAAGCCGAGCAAAGTGTTTGAAGAAGTGATGAAACAGAATAACTTTTTCACAGTTTAAAAGAGTTAATTGATGGGCCTGGAGGACAAAGCGCATAAGTGCAGTTTTTGGAACATTGAGATTAATTATTTCAAGTTAAACTAGTGTTACTGCGTATTCTGAGAAAAATTCGCTCCCAAATTCCAATTTTTAAGCTTCAAAAATCGGTTTGAGCTTTCTTCCCGCTATGAGGAGCCATGTAACTTCGAAACATCAAACACGTATTCCTCGAAATAAAAAAACTGCACTTATACGCCATGTCCTCCACGGCTCTCAATTCTGTATCATTTGGCGTGAAAACACCCCAAAAGTCCAAAAATTGACCTTTTGACAAACATTAAAAGTTTGAAGACGAAAAACGGGGAATTCGAAAAAACTGTTGTAAAAGTTTGTCGGTGGTGCTTCCAGTTTGGAGAGCGATTTGCTTCAAACGCGTTTAATGCCATCAATTTTGCAAATTTTGGCTTGAAACTAGGTTGAACTTTGTTGAGAGTATACAAGAAAGTGTCTTGCAGTGAAAACTGAAAATGGATATTTTGTGACCCTATATACCGGTTTTTGCCGCTGTACTAAGCAATTTGAGTTCCCCTTTGAGGTACATTTTGCCTATATAGCTCCGTCACAAATATTTTGACGTCAGATATACATTACCGCATTGTATTGCTACGCCTATGTGCCTTCAGTATGTTTTATGTACATTATTATTACTTACTAGACTTGGAATTAATCACTATCCTTAATTTCTAGCGGAGACGGCTGCCAACTTCATCAACCAAAACAGGCGGCAAGTTCTGGACATCGTGACACCAATCGCTGAAGAGACCGCTCTGGAGGTCGGACTCCAAATCATCAGCACAATCTTCTCAACGGTTCCTTTCGATGAGCTCCTGCCGCAATGAGCATCGCGTTAAATCAAGGTAATTGTAGTTGAGTATCACCTCAATTTTCCGTGTGCATATGCAACACGAATTTTCTCCTTCTTCTTCCTCTTCATAAGTCGCAGTTCTCCTCTAACTTGACTCATTGGTAGCTGGTTAGTTGCTTGTGTCGGGGAGCGGCGTTTTGATCTTTGAGCCTAATAGATTGAGAAACGTTAAGAAAATCTGTCAAATCTCTCTATAATTTTTAAAATTTATGCATTAGCGGACACGTCTACATCTTGAGGACGCTCCACATTTATTTCGGCGTTATATCTTCCAAATTTTATTGCCAAACAGTGATCAGTAACAATTCAACAAGTTGCCAAACATGCATATATTGTTGCTTAATTTTAGACATGGGCGGTGCTAGGAATTTTTAAAGGAGGATCAAGTGGCACCTCTTCAAAGGGGGCCTATCGGGGAACTGAAAAGCACCCTATCAAAGGAAGTCTAGGAAACTTCTTTATTCCCAGAGGAGGGTTCGGGAGCCTCTTCAAGTAAATTTCGAAAAATCGAATCGTCTCGAGATCAATTTTGAGCAGTTTTTACTGGCTAATTGATTCAAATGCAGTTCCAAAAATTAAAAATACGCGACATACTTATGCAGCCAATCCCTCATATTTCTTTCTGAGAAGGACAAGCTTTCCCCGATCTCCCTTTCCCTAGTTGACATGCCTATACGGAGGAAAACATGAGTTGCATCGATACACTGAATGACGTCATCCACATCCTAATCAAAGAACAAAACCGCCATTTAATAAAAACGGAAGTATACATGATGTGACGTTAAGACGGATATCGTTCTTTTACCATTAATCTATGAAGTTCCATCACTAAAACACAATTCCATAAGCAACACGAAACTGGCTCAAGACAGTATTACCATTCAAGTACTTAGGCACTCCCCTCTCCATAATCCCATAACGCGTTTTATTACTTATACAACATATGTAGGAGCAGTTAATATTATAACTACCTAGATGAGTAAGATGCAGGTGGTTACATTTAGAGAGGTCAATTTTTTCATTTTAATGAACCCCAAGACAAGAGCACGCCCGAATCTAAATAGTATGCAATAAATCTCACTTACGCTCAAAAAGACAGTTAGTCACAATTGGTTAAAAAGACATGAGGGAGGAGTTTTAAGCAAGTTTTATCAGATTATGTGTCACGAAAACCACGGAGACTCAGTGACCAAGGTTAATGCATACGAATCTGCTAATGAGTGGAGCTCATCATGAAAGAGGGGTCCAGCGAGCATAAGGAACAATTACCAGAAGGAGGAGGAGATCTAATCGTCTGTCTGAAGGGGAGCGATGGACAGTATACGGACCCCAAAAAAACGAAAGCATACTGAGTCTGCGGTGCGAAGGAGGGCATTATGCGCTGGTTAATTTTATGGAGCTTATTGAATAGAACCGCATTCACAGTTCTAGTGAACCCTGAAATTCATGAGACATTTTGCCTGATGAAGCCCATCTGGAAAAACAGAAACGATCCCATCGTATAATTCCCTCCAATTGAGAGAATAACAATTTGAGGCCCGTTTCCGCTGAAAAATTCGGAAGGCTACCAATCAGTCTGTCTAGTCGGCGAATGTGGTTGGCCTGGAATTGCATCGAGTACATAGAGTCATAATAGGAGTGGAGGAGGTGGCGCCACTTTTAAACATTTTCCATCAGTCATCGAATTCCATGACTCCTGTGCGGTGCCGGGTCACCATTTCGAGAAATCATCGATTTCTTTCGATACCTGGCCGTTCGATGTTAACAAAGAGGTTATGAATCATTGCTCAGTATACATCGAATTTTTGGATCGAAAATGTATCGAAAAAGTGACCGAACCCCAGCGCACACCGGGCTCGGACTCGTTGACCAGAACATAACCAGTGGCGTGGCGTGAATTGCGATGTATCGAATGTTATGACATTTAAACCTATGGTAAAGAATCGATTATTTAGGTGTTCGCTGCGAACACCCTGTTTATCGATCCTTTTCCATAGGTTTAAATGGCATGACAATCGATATATCGCAATTCACGCCACGCCACTGAACAAGACCCCAGCTCACTTCATTATATTACGACTAAATCTACTTTACGTGGTATTGTCACGTCGAGTTTGCGTCGACGAAGCGATTTAAGGGCAAGTAGTGTAGTATTCACAAAGTAACCGGAATTTTAGTGCGAAATTTTTTTTTTGGGAGTTAGCGCTAAGGATTCGATAAGGGAGAAAGGTTTGAAAAATTTTGATAAGTCGACAAATGGTCAGTACGTTAAGCAAAATTTTGAACTTTTTCTTCTCTCTTATTTCAGGGTTGTGACCAAAAATTTCTGTGGACAGCGCGGCTTGGTCAATTGGTCATCCCGGGAGTTTTTAGATGAATCCAATCTCCACGGAGTCCAGTGCGAGAACTAGGCGCTATAGTAGTCATTATGGACAGCTCTGACCAAAAAGACGGTAGTTTAAGATCTACCAATCGAATGAAAGTATCGTCTTTTTCAAACAGTGCGGAGAACAAAAATTCTAATTTTGAAAACAAATCATGACTTTATAATGCATTTTTTTAAACGTCTTCCGGGTCCATTGTTTGGTATTTCTTTAATGACAATTTTGGTGAATTTTCTCGAGATGTGAAGAAAATTTCCTAGAATCATCGGGAAAATCTGTTCCTTAACTCCATAGTGAGAAAAACATATTTGACAGAAAGTTTAAGACGTTAAAATAAATTTACATCCTGTTCTTTTCCAAAGAATCATCATGATCCAATGAATGTTTGTCCTGCGAAAGAAAACGCGTAATTTTACACCAATAAGTTGCTGAGGGTACCTTAACTTAATCGTCTGATCTCTAAGCATTACAGTTATTAAACAATTACCTACAAAGAAATAATATTTCTGAGAAAGACATGGAATGCTTCGAAATTATTTAAAAATCCGAATTGTTCAATTTGAGTATGAATAGATTATGTCTTTGTTGATACGCAGTTACCTCCAAACATTTGAAAACACAGCAGTGTGACATTTTTAACTTTACTCATTGGTGATTTATTGAATCTAACATTAATTAGACACTAATATAGCTTGTGATGCAATCAATTTTCTGCCCCTAAAATATGTTCTCCAGTAAAAGATCAATTAAACTAAGAAAGCAACATGATTACAGTCAGTCTTTGTCGCAAATGTTTAGCTCATCGATCAAAATTCTCCTTCAGTTCAGTCAAATTAACTTTCTTTTGAAATTATTAGGATAATAACTTCATGCAGATAAAATAAAATTTGCTTCGGTCAGCTCCCATAATTTAGGGTTTCCTCTGACTATTTTTTAAGGGAAAATATGAAAGAATCGATCAGCTGCGGTCGCATCGGTTAAAATGAATTTTGTAGAAAAACGCCTTCATTTAAAAGCTTATGCAACTTTTAACAAAAATTGTATCGCGCTCGGCGATGAGAGACCATAACGACTAACAGAGAGATAAGTTCGTCTTTTGACCTACCCTCAACTAAAATGTAGAGAGCTACTCCAAGCTTAAGGCTTTTACCATTTCAATGTCAGTTACCCTTTATTACCTTGTATTTTATTAACCAATTACACTGAAAAAAGGCTGTGCACTAATACAATTTGGTTCCTTTCTCGTCGTGAGTTGGAACCGAATTATTATTATTATACATGTAGAGTTACCGTATGTACCTATTTTATAAGAATTTATTTGAGAGTAACTCAATCACTCATATTTTTACTTTTGTACTTGAATTTCAATACTCTATGTCTAAGGTTTCCAGTTATGATGTAATGATCTTTGTGAATAAATTATTCAGCATGCTTGCTCATTTCAATTCACCCCATATCTTCTTCCTCTTGATTCACCTTTTGCCATCTTCAATGTTTCCGCTCAAGAAAACTTCTGGTTTTATTCAATGAATAAATGCTGATGAATTTTTAAAACAATGGATAAACATTTCTGAGTAATACATTATGACAATGGAAGTTATATGACACTTCCATGGTAGAAGTCCCAAGTACGACAACCATGTTCCATTTAACCTGTAAATGTAACTATTTTTGTGAAGCGATCTTAGAAAGCTTATTAAAGCCTAAGTTCTAAAATCACAGACACCTAAGGTATGCTATGAGATGCTGTAACTTCAATCAGGAATGAGTATGCATTATTTTTTCTTTGTTTATTTATTTTTTTCAAAAAACAAAAATGTATAAACTTCAAAAGATAAAAATTTGCTTAGGTACAAAATTTTAAAATGTATGGAGCACAACTTCCTCACATAATTTAACATAGAGATGGAAATTTTTTTTTTTTTAAGTGAATGTGATTGGTTCCTCCTTTATGACATTGTTCTCCATCGAGTCACTGTCATTTTGCGGGTTAAGTATATTTGTCATGCCTGTTGCCATCCCAATCATTACCACTCTCCTACTTGATTTTCAAGATTTAGAAAAAAACACAATTTTCACATAGTAAGTAATGACACACAATGAGCTGTCATAATGAAGACACTACATGTTACTTGTGTCTCCTTTTTTCTCCGAAGTTGGAGAAACACTGTTTGTTGCGCTTTCACGTTTCAAAAATGAAGAAAACCCACCAGTGGTCATTACTTTTCGTCAATATTTTTTCTGACCTCCGGATCGTCACTTTAAATAGTCAATCACGCGTAATCAACAGGAATAAAACGGGTATCAGTGTAACTTGGATACAAATAATATTGCTACTCGTATTTGGATATCATTTTTCAAATACTCTATCTGCATTTACCCATGAGGATACAGATGCACGCTTCTCAACACTGTTTATGTAGACATGCGCGCAGATATCGCAATACACTGAACTACAGCCATTAAAAATTTTTTGGGACGTTTCAAGCGCGTGGTAGATCTCAAATTAATGTCACCCGGAACCCATGCTTTCTTCGGAGGAAAGATCAAATGATGAAACAATTTTAATGAAAAATCTGAATAATTTTTCAGAAACAAGAACCATCTCGCACAAGCGTCTGCGAACTTCCATCGCATAAAAGCTCTTTTTCAAAAGAACTCCAGTGAGGGTCTCTCAACAGAAAACCCTGTATGCAACAACAGAACACTGTAAAAAATATTTTCCGTACTTATATCCCATGCCTCGATGTTGTCCAGTAGACAATGAGACTCACAGTTTAAATGACACAGTCAACAGGAGTTCATGTTGTTATGAGACTATGAATTTTAGGACTTGCAACGGAAAATTGAATTCTGACACATTCTATTTTTCTCGTTCCATGACATGATGAGATTCGAAAAGATTTTTTACAATGAAACATTGTTTTCGCCGTTTCATTTGGCCTCAATCACTGCAGACCCTCCAAATAAGAACCATGAACAAGGCCACAAGGATAACGGCGAAAGCAGTGTAACCAGGAATAACGCTAGAACCCGAGTTCCTGCACGCTTCCTTGATTTCCTGCAACGTGAGGTTCTTCTTCTGGATGAAGAGGTTGAGACCACGAAGTTGGGCCCGAGGTACGTGATGCTCCCTGGCCAGAACCACAGAGAACTTCTGGCTTTTCGGTGAGCAGAAAGTGAGTATGGCTTGTGTTGTAGAGGCTTTGAGGACTTGCACGGTTCCCGCAAATTGCTGGTAGTTTGTTTCTGTGACCATGGAGCCTGTGGACAACAAAAACCTCAAAAATGACAGATAAATAGGTATAGGTATGGACGAGACTGCTCTTTTATATCCGTCTGCTTAGAGCCACTCTGCATGAATAGAAATGCCTATAGATATTACTCAGATAGACGTTGTAGACGTCAAAATTGAAAAATTCTCCACGTTAGTTTTAAAACCTTTAAAAAAAAAAAAAAAAAAAAAAAAAAAAAAAAAAAAAATTCTCTGAAGCCTCTCCCTCCCCTCTGCCACCTCATTTGACACGATAAACTTATATAATTTGGAAGTCAACAATTCACCGTTGGAGCTAGTTACTCAGCAAAGAAGAAGAAGAAAATGGTGCTCATCCCTTTGAAATTAAAACCTACGTGCCACTTTTTTTGGAAAATTTAGTGAGTTTAAGTGAAACATTTGGTACATTGCTATATTTAGTACATACAAACAATTTGGAAACACCATTCAACATTAGCAATCATGATTGAAGCTCTTCATAAAACTTGCAGTAAGATTATAATAGAAGCCATTAATTTTAACTGAAATCCACGCACGTAGCCAGAAATATTTCCTAGGAGGGGCCATAAGTATTTGAGGGGAGGAAAAGACGAGGAATTTCTTCCCTAGAACCATGCTAAAATCGTGAGAACAGATCGGTCATCCAGAGAGAACTTAATTTTGAGTCGTGGGTAATTCCGGGATAAAGCTTAAAGGAAAAAGCGCTATCCCTAAAACTCAAAATAACCACTCTCGGTAAACTACCTGGATACTGCTTAGTGATTCGCTGATACTTAAAAATGCTTCAATGAAAGCTGTCAAACTCCGCAGAGAAAACTTCTCACTACAATGGCAGCACATACAGGACTTAGTCGTTGGAAAAATGGCTGGATCGCAGAATGGAATACGGGGACGGATCCTCCAGGGCGTGATGCGCAGAACGGTCAGTTTCCACAAAACGCGACGGCCGTCCCTCAGTAGGTCAGGTCCCGGACTTGCAGGGTCCTGCACCTTACCAGTTAAACTAGTTTCCGAAGCGCCCGGAAATCCTGTCGTTATTTCAACGCCCTCCAATTCGCAATGTAGAGCCAATTCGACTGGAAATCAGGTCACGTCCAGCGATAACTGGTTGATTTGGAGCACTGAACGTAGGCAGGGACAGGCCCCTTCGTTGGACTTTTCTTGATTGACTCCTAAAAACGACAGTGTTTCGCGTGGCGCGTAATCGGGATGTGCGCTCATTGTATAATTGCCTTCATGACTTTAATAAATCGTCGAAGCGCGCAGAACGTTTTTACTTGAGACTTTTTAGTTTGTACAGTAAGAAGTGTTCTGCATTCATGTCGAACAGTGTCGGCCTCTTATTATGGTATAGTGGTAGTAGCGCTGGCTCTATGATCGCGAGGTCCCGGGTTCGATTCCCGGCCAGGCGACTCGAGTTTGATGGTCTCAAACAATGGTTGCCTGGGACTGGTTCAGTAGGGACGGAGGGGGGATGAGAATAAAAAAGCGTAGGATTAGGAAGTTGTAAAAAAAAAAAAAAAAAAAAAAAAAAAAAAAAAAAAAAAAAAAAAAACCCAAGTAGAATTTCCAGACAGGATATTTTCCAAAACTCACAACAGGATTAAGGCAAAACGTCAAGAGGACAAAAACGATAAGATCGTAGTTACCGGGATGAGTCTTTTCAATTCGATTTAAATTTTTTATCATCTCTATCTCCTTCTTTTCTCTTTCTTTCTACTATTTTTTCTAGATCACAAAGGTATTTCGTCGCAAATTTAGCTACTTTCTAGCAATTCTTGTTGCAGAAAAACTCTATTTGAGGAGCGTCGTCTGTACGAAAAAGATTCAAAAATATGTGTTTCTTTTGAACAAATAGATTCTCCCAATCCCAGATTCTGGTGCACGTTACTCTTTATCAATTGGAATACATTTTGCAATAAGGAACCTTTGGCTTTCCCATTAAAGCGCATATCTACATAGGGAAACCAACGGCATGTATGCTGTTTCTAAAATGGGCCATAGATAGTGGTTCCTTATTGCAAAATGTATTCCAATTTCCTTTATTTAGTTAAAAACAATGGAAGCGCTTTCAGTTTAATCCAAATGATGATACGTAAAAAAGTAAAACTCACTGTGCAAGTTATCACGATTAGCTATGAGGAGTCCTTACCCTCAGTGCCTTCCTAAGAACGTCTGATAATTTCAACATGTGAATTTTAGTTTTAACTATCACCGAGATTAAGGTGAACATCGTATTTTGCCGTCGAAGACGGTGACTCATAGACCGCTAAAAGTAGTTCGCCTTCAATTGAACGTGCAGGCAAAAATGTATCCCGTGACGGAATGATTGCATCCTTAGAAATTGACTTGGGTGTTTCAAGTTTTGCAAGATTTCAAATCTAATCTAATGGTTCACACTTTGACAAAACAGCAGATTTAAGAAAAAAAACATTGTGTTATTCTCTTAATAAACCTTTGGAATTTTCTTGTTTAATTTGGATATGCTCTATCTCTCTCCATGCCAATTTCAAATGGGATTGCTTCGACATATCTTGTACCTCCCACTCTTTAAAGAAAATATAATAAATAAAATAAAAATAATAGAGATTGAAAAAGCTCCGATAAGATTTTCAAAACATGTAGTAATCGTGTGTCACCAAGGCATATTATAAAGCTTCGGGGAAAGTTAGGATGGCTTGATTTTTAGCGATGAAGCATATCTTGCTTCGCATAAATATACCGTGTGACTTTTCAATCCTCGCAAATTGTGCTCGAATCTTTTTGAAACATTTTTGGCGTCCGAAAAAAGTAAAATTTACTTCAATGTCTCCGGAGCCTTCGTTGTTAGGAGCCTTCGTTTAGCTTAGGATGCGACTTGCAGTTGGAGCTAGATGCCTTCTATTGATGTCTTGCTTTTTAATCGGAATGACCTGCTTCCTGGCCGCCTCTTGCGCCAAAGTGCGTTGACATCTCAATAAAGCCCCCCCCTCCCCTCTCCCTCGTCCTGAAAAACTTGCCACCAGCATCTGTTGAGGCTAAATCACCTTTTTCAAATGCCTAATTCGAACTAGATCTGTTCAAGTCTCATGTGACTTGTGTACATGATTGTCTTTCCAAAAGGAAACAAAAAAAATATAACTACAGAAAACTCAGATCACAATGAATAGAAACTGTAATTTTTGAAAGTTTCGGCAAAAACTACTTTATTAATGTGTCACCTTTTTTTCCTCTTTCTGATTTCTAGTTTGTTGATGTGAATGAAATGTAAGAATTGGGAAGGTATCAAAATTTATTTAAAAAAATTACAATGAAATGGAATGTTGTATAAATACTTAAAACGGTTGAACACTATGACTTCAGTGATAAAATAATAAAAGAGGATACTCTGAAAATGCATTCAAAGGGAAATGTTTTGATCTTGGAGCAGTCAAGTTGAATAAATATAAAAATAAAAATGTATAAACACTATGTACAATTCAGTTCATTTTGTTTTTCCTTTCATTATGCGTGGACCACGCTCGCACTACAAGAGTCTTATTGTGTGTAATTACATAAATCAAAAACACCAGATTAGCTTTCTCTGATGACATCACATCTCAACACTAGACACGGTTTAAGTGTTTTCGTAACAAGAATGATTCTCTAATAAATTCCTTGTAATTTTAATAAAATGCACGTACTTTTGAGCAGCGAGAAAATACTATCCAGTGACATAATATATGTAAGTAGTTATAAATGCATTTTAAGTGATTTAATATAATTATACTTTTAGGAACGAAAAAAGGGTTTACTCAGATCCTGAGAGCTTTTTATGGCACTCGATGCTCTTTTTCTCTTGATCATTTTGTCATGCTAACGCCGAGTACCCAATGTCATACAAAAAGTCTATGCCTTAAACGTTATCAAAAGCGCTCACGACAAAAAATGCATAGTTCTAGAATGTAAATTAATAAAAATGTAACAAAAAAATTGCAGCATATTTACACAATATTGAAGAGTACATGAGCATATTGGACGGTGTAAGTCCGCAACTTCGTATATCGTTTGCGGGGTTTGAAAATCTCCACTCCTATTTCATTTTTTCGAAGGAGAAAAAATCTACATCATTTCTTGAAGTTTCCAATGAATTTTTTTTTTTTTTTTTGCACAAAGAAAAATAATCACGGCAATTTTTAAAAATTGCCGACAAGACGTCAAGTGACAAGAAGTCTGAAACGTAGAAAACTGAGATACGTGGTTGCGAACTTTTAATGCGATTGCATACGGATTTAATGCACCGAATGAACCATAAATACATAGTATCATCATCATTTGTGAAACTGGGAACTTAGAGAGATATACCTATGTAAAATCTTTAAATTAATAAAAAAAAATAAAAAACTGACCTTTGATTATCTCTAATGTTGCTTATTTGTAACTCCTAGATGACTATTCATTTAATCTCATGGTAGGAAACGGGGCTTTTTTCATTGGAAATTATTTCTATGAAATTTTCACAGATGCATTTTTTTGTGTCATTCAAAAATCATCGACAGTTCAAAAATGCAATAATTGTCTATTTCATATTGTTGCCAATGTCCTCTCTGCGATCAAATTTCCTATACATTCCCCTAGCAGATGATCTCTTCAAAATGATGTTGTTGAAGAAAAAAATATAAATAAGTAAATAAATAATAATGGAACTTATCATTAATTATATACAACAAGACGGAAATGATTTCTACCTATGGACTACTTTGAAGGCAGTTACAATTCCTCACAAAGTACCGAAGAAAAATAAAAAAGAAGGCCACTTTGAAAGCTTTATGACGTTCCGCAAAACTCTCACCTTACCGTTGTTTTTCAATATATGAAACGGAGTCTATTTCGTGAAAATTAATGCCGCCCTTATATATTCACCTGCTGCATAAGCCAGCATGAAACTTTACCTCAAACGCATCTCAATGTTCAAATGAATGTACTCGTACTTTCATCGTGTTCGAATGAATCTACTAAAATTCGATCGCAGGAAGTAGACGGACTCACGGTTTTAGTCAGGACTGGAAATTCAGTGCAATCGCAATAAAGGGGGCAAACCAAAGTTGGCTCAAGAACATAGTGGTGGCGCTTGAACAACCCTGCCTAATATCGAGCAAGGGCAATCTCTTCCGCTCCAAGAGATTGTTGACACTGAGGATATCACGGGCTTTGAGCTGTTGATTGCGGGACATCAAAACGGTGAATTGTTGACTGTTTGGAGGGGGTAGACAAATTGAAAGTACCATGTGATCGTGCACCACTTTTAAAACCTGTCCAGTCCCTGAAACTGATGATAAAAGAGCCTTTCAACGCATTGCAGGTCAAAGGTGGCAAAGGAGGGTGGCAGAGGTAGAAGCGAAATGTTTTTACAATCCTATTTAATGGAAATTTGAAGGATTTGAGGCATTATAAAGCGATGTAATTGCCGACTTAATATCATTGATATTCGTGAATTATTGACAAATAATGGATGTTACAACCATGCTATTCCGATATGTAGTTGATGTTGAAATATGAATAAAGATGGCTGAAATATTGCGTGTTTTTACTCACTATTTTAACGCCAGAACAGAAAAGGAACCCAGAGTCAGTTTTCCTCAAAAGCAAGGGGAGAGCCCCTGGAAATTCTGTTCCATATTTTTCACAACTTAATAAAAGTTCATGAAAAATTTTATAGAAATTCTCAGTAATTCATATTTTTCATTTCCGGCGTGCAACCCTGCCCTCAGGACCTCCTACTTACGCTCATGATCATTTACATATAAGAATTATGCGGGTTAACTCACCCATAGGTTTTTAATAAACTGTCACATAATTACAGGCTCCTTCCTGAACTTCAAAGAATCCTCACATCGTGATGTACTATCCGTAAAATCCAGTGGCGTGGCGTGAATTGCGATATATCGATTGTTATGCCATTTAAACCTATGGTAAAGAATCGATTATTAAGGTGTTCGCTGCAAACACCCTAGTTATCGATCCTTTTTCATAGTTTTAAATGGCATAACAATCGATTTATCGCAATTCACGCCACGCCACTGGTAAAATCCACCCGTAAAAGAGTTGGTAATTTTTACATTAGTACATTTTCGAGCGAACCCTTTGGACGTCGCGACGTTGGGCTCGCCTACGGAGGTCAAAAGCCGCCGTAACGGCTGGAGTTGAGGTCGGCGTCCAATCGTGCATCAATTAAGCAAGTAGGACTTGGCTCGCATGCGCTTAATTAAAAGACTCCGGAGCCCCGGCCACTGTCGCGGGGAGACAAAGGGACGCGGCGAGGCTTGACCGGAGCATCTTGACCATGCTTCAAACCGCGCCGGATATTATATCGTCGTCCACCCCGCCGCCCCACAGTGGATCGAGTCAATCGGAGAGGCCGGACAAAATTTGGAAACTTCAAACGCGTATAACTCCGTTTATACGAAACTTTGAGGCTCTAAAGATGGTAACATTGGTTTCTTCGTGAGATTATCCTCCAGAAGCACCCCTTGAAATTTAAAATGTGACGAATGGAGATGTTGCATGTGTGAGGGATTGCGATTTGACCGTTGATTCTTATGTAAAAGTTCGGGAGAAACACGATGGTGCCACTGGTTTTCCCTAAAATCAACTCCCAAGCTCAAAAAAAGCTCTCAAGTTGAAGCCAAAATGGAGGGGATATCCCACGCTATCCTGAGAGTCCACCTCTACATCAAGACAAACTCTTCATACAAAGATAGGGAGGAAATACATTGACAGGGCTGCCTCTTTATTCAGGAACTCCAAAACTGAAAACACGGCATCACTGCTAATGTATTTGTTCTCTATCTTTGAATGGAGAGTTTGTCTTGATGTAGACGTGGACTCTCAGGATAGCGTGGGATATCCCCTCCTTTGGCCTCAAGTTGAGAGCTCTTTTTTAGCTTGGGGGTTGATTTCAGAGAAAACCGGTGGCACCATCGTGTTTCTCCCGAACTTTTACATAAGAATCAACAGTCAAATCGCAAATTCCTCACACATGCAACAACTCCATTTTCTTCCAGAAGCACCCCTTGAAATTTAAAATGTGACGAATTAAACATTGAAATGAACAGTTTTGGTCGAGGATGTCGTATCCGACCTCTCTAATTAACTCGATCCACCGTGCGCCCGCAGATCCCGTCCGGCAGGAAACGGACCACTCTCGTCCTATCCCTGCTCTAACGGTTTGGCTGAAATATTCAACATGCTAACATAAACGCAGGGACGAAATGAACTGAATGGACCATGATATAGGGCGAACATAATTCTTCCACACGACATATGTCTTCCTTAAAATCCTAAATTAACGACTTGAAAATCCTGAAAACTTCCAAAAGTAATTATACGTTCTCCTCTACCGTTTTGACTGAGGATACTGTTTACGTCCAGTACACTATACTCTATACTGCCGTGCTAAGGAAGAACGCCATATGAACGTACGAGAGTTGCCAAATTTCCTTCGATAAAATGCTTATTTTTGAGGGAAGCTAGGAATCTATTTCCTTGACATTTTCAGGGGCTTTAGGTAAAATATCGAACAAAATTTTCTGAAAAATTGGAGGGCAAATATATACAAATTTTCCCGAAAATTCGTGATTTGCCAATGGAAATTTGGCAACGCCTGAAGGCTCATACGGCGTTCTTCCTTGCACGGCAGTCTATAGGGGAAGTCCCTGATTGCGTAACGTACTTTTTCGGCATTTTTGACCACCTACCCCCTTATAACGCTTTTGTGACGTAGTTCCTATCTTTTGACACGTGAAAACAAATTGGTGAAACGCTCTTCTATAGCGTCTGCTTTCCCTATAGCGTCACGTAATTCATAGGGACGACCCTTACTTTAAGAAGTCAGTGATTCCCTGGGGATGAATTGCAATTCTGTGCCAAAAATACAAAATTTAGCCGGCATTTTCCCTGTACATCCTCAAAATGAATTTACAATGACAAAATCAACGTTTGCGGTTTCATTGGAGTCACACGATTAAAAATTCTTGCGGTCAAAAATCCGGAACTAGTGTACAGGTCAAATCGTCGTTTTCCGGACGAAGGAACGTAACTCCATTCCAATGTTGCAAAATTGACTCAAACAATTAAATTTGTTTACAAGAATGTACCCGTGCAGCTTATGTCCAACATTTTTCTGATTTTTGCATGAGAACAAAGTGTTTACTAAAACTGCCTGGCCAAAATTCAGTACTTTTACAGTACTTTTTCAGTACATTCCCAAGAAATTCAGTACCTCCTCAACAGAAAAATTCAGTACTTTTTCAGTACCCTCATTTGACGAAATTCGACAAATTTCATAAATTCGCATTTCTCGCTCAAATTGCGACAAAAATGACAAAAATTCCGGACCTTCTTGCGGAATTTCCGTACTTTTTCGGTACTTCCGGATCACCTTTCAAAAATCAGTACTATTTCCAGACTTTCCAGAAATTCCGGACTTGTAGATACTCTGAAGAAGTGAAATTTTTATTTACAAATGCTGAGGATTCTCCTGGTAAAAATACAATTTACGAGAGTTACGTTCTATCGTAAGGTAAACGACAAAATGAGGCATTAAAAGCATTGTTTGATCCGTTTCACGAATAATCAGCGTTTAGTGAAAAAAACCAGTAATTAAGATATACGAGAATAGGTAATAAATGAATGCGTACCGTTCTGGGAGCCAGTGGAGATCCATCTTCCAGGTGTCTCAAAATCGGGGATGGAAAACCTGTAGTCGATTTGGCCGGCTTTCTCGCTCCACAAGAGACGCACGGTGTGTTTGCTGGTTTGGGCTAAATGGAGCACGGGACATGAGTCAATGACAGTCGTCCCTTGACCGCTCCGGGGCACATTCGGTCGATGTTCTACCACCTCCACTGCATACCACAACCCCATCATCTAAAACAAACACACCAGTTTAATTCATTGAGAAGTCCACCAAGCCTTTTCTATGTATACGTAATGGAGTTAAACAACATATGCCTTCAGACCAGCCTTGCAAAATTTCAAAAAAGAATGAAATCTTGAAATTTCTCGTGGAATATTTCATGAAATTTCAGAAATTTATGAAAGATATTGAAAAATACCAGTTCCTTTTTATGTTTCGCAAAATGTAAAAATTGGGACTTTCTTCTATTTTTGTGGGTTTGAGTACGGGTTGTATACTCCATATGAAATATTTCACTGAAATTTCCAATCTTTCATTTATTTCTTACGTTTCATGTCATCCTGCTTAAGGCAGAAAATCAATCAGTGTAGATCTGTACTGTTCCCGATTAAGAATTGGTTACGAATTACTTTCAGTGTAATTTTTGATGTGCACATTATGCACACATTTTTAAAGCTTTTTTTATACTATTTCCCATTACAGAAAAAAAGTATAAAAAATACTACGAAATCAGCTCTTTAAGCTCTCTCAGATGAATCAATAAAAAATTGATTGAAAAATGAATCAAATTCTCCATTCTTTGAATTTTCGTAATTAGCCCCGCCAAGAATGACAATCCTTCATTGAATTTTTAGATTTTAATTTATCACAATGGAAGTCCTGTCTTTGCGTAGTTTTTTCTGAATATCATGACAATTATCTCATAACTTCCCGAGAGTACCTCGGTCTAAATGAGAACAAGTTGGATTTTGCAATCGCTAGCGATGGCAATATTCGTCATGGGAACGTTAGCTTCTGGGATATGAAAATGTTAAGGTACAGTTCGTTTGTAGTATCTTCTGAATTGAAGGGGCTATGTAATTTTGTGTTGACATCTCTTTTTTAACATTTTTAATTATTTTCTTTGCATACAAGAAAGCTGTTATGTACCAATTATTTATTTTCGTTGGATTAT